CCTGCTGGCTGGGCGCGGCTGTGCCATGTCATCGTCTTCCCTGTTGGTGCCATCCCCACTGCACGGAGGACACTCGGCCCCTCAGCCGAGGGTGCCCCCGGGGGCGTGGCCCGGTCTGGATTCCCATCCGGCCTCCAGCCCTCACCCCGGGCAGCCTGGCAGCTGCTGTGAACCTTGGAAGGAGGAGCCAGGTGCGGATGGGTCCCCCTCTCAGACCCAGGCGTCCCGAGGGCGGCCCCCCAAGGTGGGCCAGCAATTCCTGGGGCAGGGAACCCCAAAGCCAAATCTGCTGGCAGGATGAGCCACGCGTGCTGGGGGCACTGAGCACGGGGCCAGGAGGAGCCCCCTCCTGCCGGCCTGGCCTCGGGTCCTCAGGCGGAGGCACATCTTGGAGGAGTGTGATGGGGTCACTTTGTCCGTCCGCCTCGGAGCCTGGGGCAGCCCCTGTTCTCCCTCTCCCCCCCCACCCCAGCAGCCCCAGGCCGCACCCAAAGCTCCCAAGCTGGAGCCCCAGCCCCGTCCCTCCCGCCGTCTCCAGCCCACACCAGTGGTCTGCCCGAGGAACGATCTGCCCTTCAGATGAGGGAGCAGGTGAGGCCTCCGCCTGGGTTAGTGGCCGTGAGGACGAGCTGAGCTGCCCTTTCTGCTCAAGCAGGAGGCCAAAGGGTCAAGTGACCACAGCTTCAGGGACAGGATGGGGGCAGGGGACAGGGCCGGGAAGCTCTTCCTCTGAGTCCCCCTAGGTCCAGCTCTTAACTCTTTACTGCCTGGGGTTGGACGAGGGCTGCCGTGCGTGAGTCTGGGGGCCAGAAAATCTCAGGTCTTCAGTGGCCAAACCCTCCTTCAGAATTATAGGCATCCAGCGGTAGCTGCCCCTGCCACCCAAAGACAATCTGCCAGGGCTTCCAGGGTCCCCTGGTCCAGGGCAGTGGCCACCGAAGAGCAGGAGGAGAAGCCTCGTTCTGGGGGCTCCAATCCAGCTACCTGGGTCCCCCGCTCAGCTCCGTGCACCAGAGGCGGCTAGAGCCCGATGCCGCCCAGCCATCCACTCTGCACGAAGCGCCCCCCCGGCTTTGTGCAGGATCTTGGGGCTGCAAGCACAGCAAGTCCCCAGCCCCTGGGAGCTCGGGGCCAGATGCAGCAGCCCCGACTGACGGATAGGGTGCCGTGTTTGCCCCCAGGCCCAGGGTGTGAGCTTTAGGCCAGCACCGGATGGGAGTCTGAAGGGCAAGTGCAGGCTGAAGTCCCCCAGCCACATCAAGGCTGTCCCCTGGCCTCCTCCCCAGCCCCTGGCCGCAGGGTGACCAAGTGTGGGAACCCACACTGCACCTCTGACCCACAGACCCCAGCACAGGAGAGGCTCAGGCAGCCCCTGCCACCCAGAGGAGCAGCTGCCACCCGTGTGTGGGGCATGAGGGAGCCTCCTTCTCCAGGTGAGTTCCCACGGGGATGCTGGGCAGCAGCAGGGGCCCGGCTGGGCCTGGAGCACTTTAGCAAACCCCCACTTAGGTGGTCAGGACCCGGGCTTGAGTTCAAGGGCGACGTGGTAAGGCAGTTCCCAGGTGGGGCAGGCCTGCTCCCTGTTCCAGCCAGGGCCAGCCCGGGTCTCTGGGGGCATGATGCTCCGGGCCACTCTGCCACGTGGGGTCGCTGTAGCCCACCCGAGGATGCGTAAATGGACCAAAGGGGAGGAGAGAATGGCCAGAGTCCCCCGCGGTGACCACGGAGTTGGGGGGACAACCTAGGGGGCTGAGAAGCACTTGGGGGTGGTCCCGACTGTCCTGTCGCACTGTTTGGGATGGAGGCCCTGGTGTCACACCAGGCCCCAGCCGGCTCTAGGGGGTTCCCCGTGGGAACTCGTGGGAGTACGGGGTCTACGGGCTTTGAGAGGTCATGAGATCCACCCCCCATGTGGCTGTGAGCGGAGGTCAGCTTTAGCCTGGCGCCTAGTGAACTGGCCATCACCCGCGGTTGGAGGTGGGGGTGGTAAGAGCTAGCCACCGCGGGCCCGTGTGGCTCCCCACGCGGGCCTCCGGGTACCTGGCCTGCGTCTCAGCCCTGCGGCCCCCGCCACCGTGCGCCCCGCTGCGGGAACGAGCGGCTCGGGAGCGGCGGCGGTGCGGAGGCCGTTGCGCGTCAGGAGCCGCGGGTTCTAGCTGACTCACTGCCCGGCCCGGGGGCCCCGTCCCCA